AAGAAAGCATTTCAGAGGAGTAGCATGACATGGCATGAGCCAAATTTCAGAGGCTAAATTCAAGGCTTGTTTAGGTCACAGTGAGTTGACCACTTTGGCTGAAATGGAGAGTTCGTGTAGGGAAGTAGAGAGATTAAGCCTGATTAAGAAGGTTAAGGCCTATGCCTAAAGCCACATGAAATGTTTTACGTCACATAAAATTACTTTTAAAAATAAAGCAGAGATACAGTGTCTACTATGCTGACATTGTAGTCTTTTTCACATACACCACCCCAGCTTGGCTGGCCTTACTCTACCAAGCATGTACTGTGTATGCCTACTTACAATGAAGGGGGTCACACCCCCTATTACTCTCTACACAGAGGTACATTTCAAAAGCTTTCAGGTTAAAGTTGTTTAAAAAGAGAAACAAAGTTCGTGGAACCTATAGTTCTGCCAGGTTGGGAATGATGCTAAAAAGCAGTTTATAACATTTTTGTTGTTGTTGGAAAAGCCTATATATTATCTTCTCCTTAAACTAATTTCCAAAGGTGTAGGTTTGGTTATCTCTAATTCTGTGGTAAAATGAATCCCAGCACTGGAAATTTAATAAGCCCTCAGAGGAGAAAACAGATTTCAGATTCCCCAGCAAGAGATTAACTCAATTCCAGGTGAATTATCTCCTTCAACTTCTTCACGTGGCATATACAAATATATATATATATGACTATATATATTGTATACATATTTATATTATATTGTATAATATTATATTCTCCAACAGGGAGAAGGACAGCCTTACCTTAGATGAAGTGACAAAGGTGTCAATGAAAATTTACCCACACAATTTCTGAGCAAACAGATTTGCATAAAGCTGCCCATATGCAGCATTAGCAGGATGAAATAAAATATCAGGAAGTAACATAACAATATTGCAGCTAAATTAAGTAGGTAGACATATAGATAAATTAATAATAGAAAGTAGGTAGATGGAAACAAAGGAACACAGCAAAAATAAATAAATAAATAAATAAATAGCAGACGCCCCTCCAAATCTGGAAGAATAAGGAGATTCTTTATATGTACTACAAGTTATAAAAGACTCCACTAATAATATAAACTCAAGAATACAAGTAGTAAATGACATGTGAGAGGTAAAGGGAGATTGTAGAAATAAAGGCCTACATTAAAAATTAATTAGGGATAGCAAGAAGCAGAATATTTAGAGCTGAAAATAGGCATGGAGAATATTTATGCTATTTCAGTATATGCAGAGGGGACAAAATAAATAGAAGACAAGATAATAGAAAAAGAAGACAGAAAAGATAATGCAATACTAGGCAATTGTGTTCCTGAATGCAGCAGAATAGAATACAGGAAATATTCTCTGAAATGAAGGTAAAAGGACATATAAGATCAAAGTGGGGTATCATTTGTATGAGAGAAAGAAAGATACAGAACAACTGACATCCAATACTGAAATTCAGGTTGAAAGAACAAATTTCAATTATGCAGGTAATTTTAAAAAATCAGCAAAAGTTTCAGAAAAACTCTTGGCCTAATTTGCTTTTATGGTGACTATGTCATGAGCCCACCCCTGGATCAGTTATTGTCACAATGGAAATGGGCTATTCCTCTTATTGGCTAGGCTGTGTCACCTAGAGCCGGGGTGTATTTAGCCCCACATAAATCAGTGAGAGTAGAAGAGGGATGATAAAACGCCAGATCTTGTGACCAAAAAGAGGGGATGGATTCTGTGAAGACCAGAAGAGCATCTATTTTATACACTATATTATTTCCCCAATTAAAGTTTAAATTTCTTGAGAATAAGAACTCTGTATTATATTTCTTTCTACCTTATGCAATGACTAACTCAGTTCCTTTTTATTGTGTAGGTATAGGTATTAAATTAATAAATAAAAATAATGAATTTAACTTGACACAAATTCCTTTATTTGTGAAATGAGGAAGTTGGAACACTTGAATTCCAAGATCCCTCCTCATTTAAGAAAGTTCTATGAAGATTTCCTGAGAACATATTATATATGGGGCCCCACATTAAGCATTTTTTGTTTACTCTTGTAGTAAAACATTTGAACATTTGTTTGTAGCTATAACTCATGGTAGATGTTTTTCACTTCAGAAACTTCAAAAGTTTTACAACGTCATATCAGATGAGTGTATTCTCATATGTCTTCAAGTTGATGATTCACAATATAAACAGTTGTCCTTATTGTGCATAGGCCTTTTCCTAATATGCATATTTTTGATTGAATATGTTTACCTTTTATTGCTTTTAAGCCTCTAAACAAGAAATGAGAATTTTATCTTCATCTACTCTCCTCCCACTTTTGTCTACTTCAAAATTCAGTATCTTGATTAATTACCATCTCCCATTTTGCTTAGCCAGAAACTCTACCATCTTCCTTATCTTCTTCCTATCTAATTGCCCACCAAATGCTATTAATCCTACCCTCAGATGTATTTTAGGTCTCTCTTCACTTTAAATTTCTGCTCCCATCCTTACTGCCATGGTTCAATTCCTGTAGTTACTTACTACATATTTCTTCTATTGTATTTGCCATATAAATACGCCATGGTAAGAGAACAAGCTTGGGCTAGGTTGCCTGGTTCAAAGTCTGGCTCCAGCACTTAACTCTGTGTGACTCTGGAAGGAGTTATATAACCTCTCTGAGCCTCAGCTTCCTCTGTAAAATGAGGCTAAACACCTCACAGGAGTACTGAAAACATCAGATGAACTAAAACATATAATGTACTTGAATCAATGTCTGGCACCTAGTAGTATTACATAAATAATAAATTATTAATAATGGTTTTCCTTATAGCATATTTTTGCTGTAAATATTTAAGTGGTTGATTCCTCCAGTAGACTTAGAACTTATTATGGGAAGGGCTATGTTATTATTAGTATTTAAAAAATAGTAGCATGAATATTTTAATCGCTAGCTCTCCGTATAGTGTAGGGGCATTTAAACATTTAATCCAATGAATTTCACTTGTCAGAATGGGACAGTTCTACATCATAACCACTAGATGGAAGCAAATGATTTTATAAAATCATTTATCACCAGAAACTGCTGCAGTGTACAGAACATCTACCTCTTTTGTCTCCTTTATTTGTACAACCTAATTATCGCCAAGAACAAAGTAACACCACCATCATCATCAATAACAACAGCTACAACAAAGGCAGCTCATGAAAACGCCCAAAACTTTGTGTATTGAACCCAATTCAGAATTAAGGTTTTAGAACATATTTGCTATACAATTTAAAAATTATTTGTCAAAAAATGCTGAAAAATATTGTCACTGAATCGAAAGCCAGCTGGCACCCAGCCACACTTACATAACAAGTCTCTGAAGGCTTATCACAGGAAAGATGTAGATCTCCTGCTCTACAATGTGTGACCGCCACATAACAACCAATTGTCCCTGTGAATGACACATCTCTCATTATTAATAAAGAATTGCTGCTTTCCTATATTGTTTGGGATGGCGTGATTTATAGGTAATTGATGATTTAATTACTGGGTTTATTGTCTTCTTTGGGAGTTTCCATATCTCATCTTCAAATATGTATTTGGTGTCTTTCATTTGCAGTGAAGGGATTCATTTCTTTCTCCCTTGTTTATTTTCAGGTCTTCAGCCTTTTCTTTCTCCACATGATTCTTATGTCTGACAATCACATCAGTGACACCTCCCATTACAGTACTGTCAGCAAGGATTCCCAGTGGGGAAAGGGCTACGCATAGTTGGATTACCCCTAACCTCAGATTCTATTCAGCTGTTAGCTTTCTTTAATTAGTCCTATTATCAGAAATGAATTGACACTCACTTTTTCTCGCACAGTGGGACTTGCTTTCTGTAATATCCATAGGCATTCCTGGGCTCTTTCACTTTTCTCCCCCCTTCCTTTCTCCACCCCCTCTCTATTTCCCATTCTATCTCACCTCCCTCTTACGCTCTCTCCCTCTTAACATTCTACTTATTTTCCTTCTACCATGCAATGCTATATGAACCATATAACAAGAGAACATCCATGTAATATAAATTCGATCACAAAAGTGAGAAGAGTTTTCTTGCACATTAAATATGAGATTTCTTGGTAGAAAAAAAATTTCTACTTAAAATCAATGCTTCATCATTGCCTAAAGCTGAATGAGCATCAGTTGAATGCATAACAGAGCCGAAGTGCAATGACCTACTTAGGATCACTCTAAATTACTTGGATGAAAAATGATTTCAATTCAAATCTCTTCTTTTTCTTATCACAATTTCTTTCCAGGTGGAGAGATGTTTTACTTGCCCACTCATTGCTCTAACCAAATCTCCATCTGAGATTTAGACTTCTTTAAATGTAGTCGGGAACATTAGCAAATAGGAGACCGGTTATCAAAGCTAAATTGAATTTCTCAGATGTCCTCTTTTCTTTCCACAGAGCAGTCAAGTGAGAAAGCTCATCCAAGGAGCAGGAAGCCTGATTTTTTGTTATCCTACTATGATCACGGCTGCTGTGTTCACCTTAGTCACTAAACACATGCTGCCCTGGTAGGAAAACAAATGAGCTAAAGCCATCCCCAGCACACTGCTGGCCATCATCAAGACTTGAAGGAATTTCAAAGAAGCAAAATATGTTTCTGTATTCCCCTGGGGCAACATGAATTCTGCTAAGTATTTTGACTTCTGGATACACAAATGTAGCAAGAGGTTCTATTCTATACCTGTGTGCTTGCTGGCTGGCACAAAATACATGCACAACTACAGACGTCTGGGTTTATTTTCACGAGTGGCTGATGGAGGAGTCTCCAAGCACGTGGGTAAAACCGTGGCCGTGTAATCTGCCTTCTTGGCCTCATAGCTGACCTCACGGCTGCTTTATATAATGTGGTTTGTTTGCTGATGGGCTCGTGTTTGATTGGTTCCAGAGTGGGAACTGCAAAACCTGTGCATAGTCCCCGTGAGTGCTAGACTCAGTCAGCTGATTTGATTTTGTATTTCTTGTGCACCAAGAGGTCAAACCGAGCACCACGAAGGAAATAAACGTGGGTGTTTGTGCACAGCAAGGTGAGGAATGATCTGGATGAATAATGGAGGCAGTTGAGGTGGCATGAATTAGAGGTGTCTGTGGGTGGGGGAGAGTGAAAAAGGAGAAGTAGGGAAGGGAATGGTTAGGGGAAATTCTTTCAGCCACTAGCAGCTAAGCATAGATCATTGGAATGCCTTCCTTATCAAATGTGAGCAGGAACCAGGGAATGGAATATTGCCGGGTGGAATGCCTAATGAAGTAACTGGCTTTCTCTTGCTGCCCTTTCCATCTAAATACTTCAGTAAAGATATGCAGCAGATTGCAGGGCTTTTACAAGGAGGCACAAAAGTAAAAAGAAAAGATTCATCATTGGGGGATTTGCCACTGAAGGCATAGCTTATTGTATCGTATTAAAAAAACTCCACCCCATTTGTGTTTAGACAAAACACTTTTTAAAATTAGCTCGATTTGCTTTGGAATTCATTTTGTCCGTCTTCCCAAATTAAGGGAACTGCACACTGCTTTTGACTATTTTAGTAAGAGTTTAACGTGAATAGCCCAAATCCTTACACCGCTGCCCCTTCGGAGTCGCTTTAACTTTTCTATAAATACACCCAGCAACAAGGTATTTTGAGAGCTCCCTAAGTAACAGAGCTTTGAATTTCTCTTGTGCAAATCTCCATGAGAACTAAAGCAACTCTCAGTGGGTCTTCCATAACCGCCAACTTATGACTACAAAGTTGAACATTAATGAGTCCTCTGTAGCTCTTTTCCCCCCCAATAAAATATTCTTTCTGGTATGATAATTCTGTTTACTTCTCACAAGAGCCAGTCGTTACCACAATTTACCATCAGAGGGCGCACATTCACAGAAAATGCAGCAGTTCCCCGCTCTGGCGGATTGCTTCCCCTCCTATTTGCAGGATGGAAGGAACAGGTTTTATTCGGAGGTATTTTCAGTTCAAATTCAAGTTCTAGAACTTTGATTTATTATTAGCCTGTTCTCTTACTTGGGTGGAAGGGAAGAGAGAAAAACAGGTCTGTCTGCAACCACTGTGTTCTACCCCCATTCAGGGACAGCCTCAGAAACTGCAAGGTTTCAAAGATAATCAAAACGAGTCTGATCGCTTACGGATCTGAGGGCATAGGCTCCAGCCTCTCTAAAATGACAAATCTCCTCACGTTACCCAAGAAACCACAAAAGATTCACACCCACCCCCTCCTCCCCCGGGCCCTGTCCTTCTGCAAGTGATTTGCAATCCCAGACAAGTATTATATAACGATGAAACAGAAGCCTGGAGCTTTGGTTTGTTATTTCTTTCGGAGAAAAGACATTAAAAAACTGTTATTATTTCACTATCCTAAATGCCTATGAGGAAAACATTTCAGAGAATTGTTAGAAAAGCAGGGCAGTAGAACTGAAATTTGCATCAGTGCTAAAGATTGTGACCATCTGTAATTGCCCAAGGGGGCAGTTTGGATGAAAAGACACACACTGGTGGGGTGAATGGAAAAAGCTACAGACCTGAAGTAGGGGAAGCTGGGGGCCTAATCCTGACTGACTGCTAACTAGCTGGCTGAGCATCCTTGAATTAGTTAACTTCTTTGGGCCTGAGTTCTGCAAGCTGGCAATTAGATGATGTCAGAATGCCTTCCATTCTACTAAGTTATCCTCTCAAGAACAAATGTAGATAGTGTTATTAATTTGACCTCTCATGGAGAATACAGCAGCACCCAATAATAAATTAACCATTTTGCAGGTTGTTTTAATACTGCATTTCAAACAGCTCTGAAGTACTTTATATGTCATATTTATGAAAATAGTCCATTATTTAGCAATAATTTCTCTACTGTTTTTATGGCAATGAGCTGCAGAGCAATTCTCTGTGGGGAATGCTAGACACTGGTATGGTAAAACAGACGAACAAACAAACAAAAACAGGCTTAGGTTTGGACCCTGGATCCATTTTAATTTGCTATGTGACCTCAGACAAGTTACTTAAGCATCTGGGCTTTTGAGTCTTAGACTGCAAGAATCTTTTAGGGTTATAGTGAGAAATAATGAGCTAATTAGATGGCTGGGCACATACCAAGCCATCATTATATGAGAACACTTCACTACTATTAATATTTATCATTACCACTAAAACATCCAACCTATAAAACTGCTCAAAGAGTTATTTAACCCCAGATAACTATGCAATATTTAGCTCTCTTAATGATATGTTTACTAACGTAGGAACTTCAGTGTTGCAAAATCTCGAACGAAGAAATTGAAGGAGGATTTTTCAGAGATACGATCCTTGGAAAATGACCTCATCTTGGTCTCCAAAAATTGGAATTTGGGGACTTTTAGAGGATCTAGTCTCTGCAGCCTAAAGGAACAATGGGAGAAATTTGTTATGGGGAGGGTACAGATTTCCATAGTGTAGTCTGGTGCTCGCAGGTGGAAAGTGCTGGTGTGCAAAGGTGGGAGGAGGAGTAGGGGCATCACTGTTCTGGTGGTAGCAGCCCCACAGTCATTCCCATGTCTCCTTCAAAGTTTGTATTGCCCAGCTGGACACAGAAAAGAGAATTATTGGAAAAATATGGTGATACCAGTTAAACTGAGTCTGGAGGATGGTGTGTGAAGAAACTTAATTGAACATGTGAGCCTGGGGGTGGGCGTTTCTCTCCTTTTTTAGTTCTCGGGCCATATGCATTTGTAGCAGATGCTCTTGGTGCCCTGCCTGCAGCCCCCAGAACTCGCTCTACTTGCTGCAGTATGCTTTGTGGGAATGTCTCTGTCTGAGGTTTTTTTCTAACTGGGGAATATGGTCCGTCCATACTCAGCTGCCCTCAAAGCAGCTCTCAACCTGTGACCGGCATGGGAGTGGGTGGAGAAATATCTCAGTTTCCTTGCATCCTGATTAGGTTAACTCAGAGTTGTGTTCTATGCTATCTCCCGGAGTTCCTCAAAGGATGCTCACCCTTTACTGGCTTCCTTCCCTTCTTGGGACCACTTCCCTCTTCTAGTGCTTGTGGACAGAGTGCTGCCACCATAAATCCTTGTTTCTGGGTCTGCTGGGAGCACCTAAGATACCAGGAGTAGCTTCTATTTCACAATTTACAAGTGTTTTTCTGCATACAGAACATGAGTTATGGTGCCAAGCCGATCTAGGGCTGCAACTGGGCACTGCCATTTATCAGCTTGGCAACCTTGGGTCAAGTTCTTTAACCTCTCCAATTTTCAGTTGACTTATCTAAAATATGAAGAGTGTGATGATACCTAGTCATCAGATTGATGCGATAATTGAATGTGATTCTGCATGTCAAGTCCCTGGCACAGCATCTGCCTCATAGTAAGTCTTAGTTTTCAAGTAAACATTGGCAACCACTGACTACTATTGTTCTTAATTGCCCTTCTAAACATATGTAGGAGAGCTCTTATATTGGCCATATAAGATGTCTTCTGAGGCTACTGTGGAAATCGGAAGAGAAAAAACAATGATCTGTAGCCTTTTAATTCCCATGGGAGAACATTATTGCCTCAGGAGCCTAAGCTTCATTTTAAAAAATGCTATATGAGCAGGAAGGAATGGAGACACAAAAACCTAATGGCAGTGAAAGTGATCTGTCCCAGTTGGGCTCTGAACATGATAGGTGTGCAAGTGGGAGCTCAAACAGTGAACAAAGCCAGCATCTGAGGCGTTATTTTTAGAAGCTGGAGAAATGCTGGGAAAGAAGTAAGAGGGGAAATATGCAGCATTTATGTAACACATCTCCAAGTAGCTCTGAAAGGAAGTTTTATATTTAATGGAGTTGTTAACAATTGGGATTGAAAGCCTAAAATAGAAGTAAGAACACTTAGCCAACTTGGGAGCATTTTGTTGGGTCTGCTGTAGAATATTAGGTTTGGAGAAGTTATGCAGGGATAGGTAATATACACGGAAATGAACATAGCCCTGTTATTAAATTCATGTTTGATTTTTGTCTTAAGACTCTTACTAATGTTTTTTCTCCATTCTGTTGATTGAACCATATCTCTCTGCATAACACCAGCTTTCCTTGCCCATTAGCTTTTCTCTTTTCTTCCTCTGAATCAAATAGTGTTTTCGACTTCAGTGCTTTTGCTCATATTTCTTCCCTAGTCGGGCATGCTTTCATGCTTACTCTCCTCCCACAGAAGTTCAATTCTTCTTCAAATTTCTTTGACAGCTGGGGGCCCCAGAGACTCTTTGACTTTTGGGGCTAGAAAAAGAAATTAGGTCCCTGTCATGAAGGACTTTGGATGCTGTTGTCTTCAGCCTATACAAATTGAAGTCACTGGAATCTTTCGGGAGGATGGTCACATTACCCACTGTGTGTCTCAGGAAGAAATGAATAACTCTGGCAGCCATGTTATGAATAACTCTGGCAGCCATGTGAATGACAGCTTTGGAGAGGAAGAAACTGGCACCAGGTTGCAAGGCTGTTGTGACGGCTCAGGTGCCAAGAGGTCAGGATATAAGCTAGACAAAGAGTAGAGCCAAAGGGGCAGAAGGGATGACTTTGAGCGACCTCTAAAGTGCTAATATGGAAAACGTGGTGACCAATTGCATGTGGGAAATGGAAGGAAGACAGGAAAACAGTAACTGTGGAGGACTTGAGGCTTCCACAGATTTGTGGAGGACAGCAATAGAGGGCTGGGAATTGGATGGGAGAAGTAAGAATTTGATTTGAACGTGTGCTGCTTGGCCATCCATTTGTAGCTATCCCAACATGCAAATGGGGATGTGAGTCTGAATCCCCAGATGAGGACAGAGGAAATGATATGGATATGGAGGTCTTCTCAAAAAACTTGGGAATGAAATTTTTGAGAAAGAGAGTAAGAGAAGAAGAAGTCTTTGGCAAAAGCTACAGGAAAATCCAATATTTAAAAGGCTGATGAGGGAAGAGGAAACAGCAAATAAGAATGAGAAGTGATCTGAGAGGTAGAAGGAGACTCAGCATGCGTAGCCTCACATGTTGAGAGTGGGATTTCAAAAGCAAGAAGCTGCTGAACAGCATGAAAACTGCA